TCTGCTGCTCACTGCTGTAGCATGGTCAGTAGCTACTGTCAGTGCTACTGCTACTGACCATGCTACAGATGTTAGTACAACATCTACAGCTCGACCATGCTACAGATGTTAGTGCAAAATCTACAGCTCCTCTACCACAACCATCAGCAACAAGTGGACATGGAGAATTACATGAACTACTACATGTTGCTAAATCCACCACGGGGCATAAACAGAAGGGCAACCATGGCAACCATGCTCCGGGGTCTTCTTCGCTGCTTTTGGTGTATTTTGGCGGAAGTTACAGCGCCACTTACAGTCCCGGCATATGTACTACAGCGTTTCCAGCGGTCTTGTGTGAACACGTTAAATGAAACGAATGCATGTGAACGGAAGACTTTTTTGAAAACGCATACTGTGCATAAACGCAAACGTTCCCGTGTAAAGGCAGCCTCAGTCTGACCAGCAGCCCGGTGCGGGACCCCCGCTTGGTCTTCTTCTTGCGTCTCTCAGGTAGGACAGCAACAGGTAGCCATGGCGGATCTCCATTGTCTGTCGGTGAGCTATTGTCCACAAGGTTTCTGATGTGAAGAAGTTCCTCTCTGCTATATTGTATAGCAGAGTTGGTGCAGTCGGCTTGCATGTTGCGAACCATGTTAAAAGCAGACGGCAAAAAGTAAAAAACACTGAAAAAATACGAAAAAGGGCAAAGTTGGAGAGGAGCCAAAAGACAATGCGGCCATCTTCACCGGCGCATTATGTATGCCTTGCCTGTAGTATTCAGATCCTGGTTCTTGACGAGCAGTCGAGTGGTGTCAGATAAAAACTGGTTTTCAGGGCCAAGAGCCGGCTCCCGTTCGAATTGTCAGTTTAGCTTATGAAGGTTCCTAACGGAGTGAAATGACCCGGAAGTACCTCAGTGGCCGCCATGAAAGGAGGTTTGAAACTTCCTTTATAACCTCCTTTAGCTTAGGAAACACTGGACCTTCCTTACGAAAGTAAAGGAGAAAATGCTGTCCCACAATGCCTTGCTGCAACATTTGCCGTGACACAACATTCGGCCGTTCACAGAAACAACCGATCGTGACCGAGAAATAATATCATGAAAGTTACGGTGCTTATTAAGCATTTTACATCTTATATCGTAACTTGGCAAAGTGCTTTTTGAACGTTCAACACTATAATAATCAGATGGAGAAATATGAACGTTACTTTATCACTGATAAAATAAAGTCAACATTTCACAGAGTTTACTGAGCTGTGTGGGGTTTCTTAAACTTTTGGGGATGGTGACAACAATACGTTTGACTTTACTTTTTTATTTCAGTTGCCTCCTAATGAAGATAATATTTGTCTCTGTTGTCCACATCCATAAAGCATATCAACACCATCAGAGCACGGTGCAAAGTCTCTAGATGTCTTCCAGTAGTCCTCTGTACAGAGAACTGTAGTTTCCTCCCAGCAGACGCACATTAAGAACATCCTCTGGTGCGTCATTAATACGTCTGATAGTGTCAGTGCAGTCAGATTCTCTTGAAGCCCAGTCGTCTTTTCCTAAGTCCTTTTGAATTCTCCTATCCACTATTCCTTAACCCTGTGACGTTTCACACAGAGGTCAAGGAATAGTGGATAGGGAAAGACGATAGGAGCTGATTTTTGGACAATTCGACCGCATCCACTGTCTGTCTTCTTCTGCTGTTCCTTAGTGTTTACTTCCTGTCTGTCTTCTTCTGTGGATTTCTCTGACGTCCAACGCTCTATCTTTAAACCTCTTTCCTATCCTCCCCTGATACTCCTAAGCAACAGTCTTTTTTTGCTTAGCAGTGGTGTGTTATCCAGTATTAACAACCTCTGAAGTGTCCAAATTGACCAATCAGAATCCAATTTTCATCTAAGCCGTGTAATAAGACATGATATTCAGCTGCAGATGAGAACTTGATTTCATTACGTCTCTGAGAGTTAACAGTGAGCCAAATGGCACCACGCCACACAGCTCTTATGTTTAGTTTAATCATTTGTTCAAATTAAATGTAACTGCTCCTTGAATAACTGCGTTTGGATTAACGATGTAACCACAACAGCAGTAATTGGAAATGAAGTTGTTTTTCAGGAGAATAACTCAAAGCATCCGTTACGTTCTAACCCAAAAGAAAATAATCAATACTGCACAGCCCAGTTCCTTTCTGGCACAATCCAATGTATTGACAAGTTTTAATTAAAATAAAATTACTGATCATAGGAGCAAATGGAGCAGCAGGAAAATCTGCGTGCTGCCGTCATAAATAGCTGTCAATGAAACAAAACAGGTCCACTTTGGAGTAAATTCTTCTTATTGTTATGTTAGAATTTATTCAGAATGATCTTTCAAACATACCTCTTGTTCACATCCTCTCTGTATAGGAATGAGCTGACCAAAGGTCTCACACCTCTGAGCAGCTGTTACTGACCCAATAAACCTTTCACAGGACTACTCGAAAAATCAACAAAAGAAGTGGTTATCACCCCTCACAAAGGGCAGAAAACAGCCTCTTGACCAAACAATTGAGCGTACTGATGTGTATTTAATCAGAGTGATGTCTGCTACTGACGGACGCTGCTGTCCACAGCATCAGTTCATTGTTGCCAGTTAAAATGAAAACTAGCCTGCCCTAAAACAGTAGTGTAGAAGAGGTCAGGGTTAAATGAGATGGCTGTTAGTTAATTATGAGTGTTTACCACGTGTTTCAGAGTCTCTTATGATTACCTTACAGAGGGTGCACCACAGAAAGTTCTTACTCAGAATGTAGTAATCACTCATCTTTACATCCAGCAACTGTCACATGTATCTGTTGGGTATCTAACTAACTAACTAACTAACTAACTAACTAACTAACTAACTAACTAACTAACTAACTAACTAACTAACTAACTAACTAACTAACTAACCAACCGTTAGTTTGCTAATACCATATACAAAAATGATGTGATATAGTCAAAACATCAGACATGAAGCTTGATTGAAATACTGTTAAGATATAAACTGGGAAGTTTTGATCATCTCAATTTAACAAAAAACACAAGATATACCTCTAATCTCATGCTTATATTCAAATGATGGAACATCAGGCTGAATGGGTTCTTGTAGCATGTTTATGACTGAACAGTTCTACTAATACAGACGACCAAACACTTGTTACTTTCTTCACTAGCTTAGACTGGTATAACCTTAAATCAGTGTTTGCTACTCGTTTCTTTTACTAGGGCGTATTTTAACCAGATGCTAGGAAGAGGGAGAATTCCATCTTTTAATGAATACAGATGTGAATGTAAATCATAGCACACTTTCCATTATCAAAACATGTTTAGTATCTTTAAAGCATAGCATAGAAACACATTTTATCCGTGTGTTACAGCAGATTAATGAGATGACCTCATGAAGAGGAAGTACCAGAGTATGACCTTGGTCAACAGGAAATTGTTCGACACTTTGCCTGGAGGGAACCTGACACCTCTGCCTTGGCATGAATATCCCATGAAGGACCTTTTATGTGGAAATGGGAAAAAGAGCAAACATCTTTTAAATTGCAAATGAGACAGTTTCAGTTGGCTTTCAAGTGTAGAGCCTCTGTTAGTGAGTCTGTCTTTGAGGGGAACATGTCGTTTTGTGTCCTACAACAAGCTGGAATATGGCCTTCTGTCCTATTCACTGAATTATTCAATTATAAATGTTGTAATACAATGTTTAGTTTTATCATGAAACATGTTTATTTCTGACAAATATACACATAAATGTTACTTTTGGCTTTATTTAACCAGTGCCCTGAGCAGGCAGTGTTTTTGTCTCTAATAGCCAATACACACAAACACACACGCTGTGATGGAATACAAACTGACATTATGTTAAACTAACAAGACTACGATAGAAAAAACTACCACGTTGAAACAAGTAGTCCAATAATTGGGTTGTTTGACAGAAAACTCATATTTATGTTAAATTATTACATTACATTACATAACATGTTACTTTTTAGACGCTTTTATCCAAAGCGACTTACATACTCAATACTGTGGGCAATCCCCACAGGAGCAATTTGGGGTGAAGTGTCTTGCCCAGGGACACAACGACATGCTGACTGCAGTGGGACTCGAACTTGGTACGCCCGAAGTCCAGCACTCTATCCACTGAGCCACAGCCGCCATGTTAATTATAATTATTTTAAGGCTTTCATTTGTTTTTGTTACAGCCAAATGCAACATATGCACTGAATCTCGCTCCTGTGTGAATATTGTTAGTCTTTTTGATTAAAGACTGAATATTTGGGGGTTTTGCTCACAAAACATGCAATTGATATGTGTCAATTTAAGGATAGGGAAACAAAATGACCATTCCATGGACAAAGTGATTGATCAAGAACATATTTTGTTAAAGCGTTGAAAAAGTAAAAGTCCTACATTTCAAATGTTACGGAGTATTAAAGGTGTGTTAACATGTAAAACGTTTTATAGAATATTTTCCCACAAAAATACAGGGGTTTCAATAATCATACTGTATTAATTAACTTCTCAAAATGTCTTTCTTCCTGTCTCTTTTCTTTTCCCCTTTCTCCTTGACATATGTTTGTCTATATATATATATATATATATATTTGTTATTATTTATTATTATATTAAATAAATACAATTAAATGTGTTTAATTGCTATTACCTGAATGTGTGATGCCTTTTTGTCACTGCTTGGTGATAACTGTGTGTTACTCATGTGCTCTGTTGCAAAAAATACTCCAAATGTTAATTCTGAAGTAAATTAATACATTTTGAAATATTTTCAAAAAGCAGCTCTCTCCCTGTGCACTAAAACATGATTTATTTTTTAATAAACTTCTCCTGCCTGGTACAAACCTGCAGGAGTCAGAGGCAGCAGCATGGACTACATGTCCCAGACACCCCTGCGGTCCCTCCCCCCGCATACCTCTGCTGTGCTCGCGCTGTGGGGATCCTGCTCAGCAGCGCGAGGCACCGCACAAAGTGAGAGCAGAGGAATGGGCAAGTTCCAGAGGGAAACTTTTCTTTTCAATTCCCCCTCCAGCGCCCTGAGGAGAGCCGGGGAGTGGATATAAAGCCAGCCGCCGCCGCACCACCTGTCTCTGGATTACTTTGGGGGATACCTCGCTGTTTGGATAAAGTGAAGAGGGGTCTCTGTGTGGCCGGAGAATGTGTCCCCCTCCGCAGGCTTCTCCAGCGGGCTGCGCCGTGTTCCTGCTGCTGGTGGCCGGGCTGCAGGCTGCGGCCGGGGCTCCCTCAGGCTGCCCCCCTCCCTGTGTGTGTGTCGGGGAGCTGGTGGACTGCAGTCGGCTGAGGAGAGGCCAAATCCCGAGAACACTCCCGGAATGGACCGTGCAACTGTGAGTCCATTTAAAGAGCTTTATTCCTGTCACGGTGTATTGTTTTATGTTTCATTTGTCTGGTAATTATTGAAGTGCATTTCCACTCCTCCGCTCTGCGAGGAACACATGTTGTTTCCTTCAGCAACGATGCCATGATCCACATTCCTGCAGTAAATAACCTGGTGTTACTAAGATCACCCCACACTAAACTTTAAATGGAAGGAACAAATATTTGATTGAAATTAGACCCTAACTTTATTCTATGTTTGACTTTGTAAACTTCCTGCAATGCTTTCTGCATCATCTGTAACAGAAGAAGTTGATTCCTGATCACCTAGCCATGAATCCATCTTCACTGCTTTAATTCACTTTATCAGGACTTCTATCAGCATGTCAGGTTAAGAGAGGCACACGGTGGAGCACCAGCAGCCTCCAGTATGTTTTTACACTTCAATGTGCTTTTGTGAAGCCTCTTCATTAAAGTGTAAATACCTGTGAATAAATCTCCCCAGTGCCTGCAGGTAGGGCTTTGAAATTCAGGCGTTCTCATGTATCATTGTAGGGATGCATAGATGAAGTAGGAGTAGTAATCTTGCCTATACTAGCAGTTTTCAGTAGTAATAGCAACACTATTAGTAATGATCATACTCATGTCTCCAACAAAGTACTTAGAATTGCAACTAAAAGACATCCATGGTGTTTATAATGGTCTGACAGCGTGGTTACATACACATTGCAATGATTGGTGTTGCTTCAGGCTTCAGGTTTCAGCTTCACAGACCTGGAGGCTTCAGAGCCATAACGGCATAAATCAGAGGCAGCCAGTGTGCAGCTTGGCCGGCTTCCTAAAGGAATATCTCCATTACTCTCCTGTTTGCCTTCTGGCTCCATCAGAGAAGACGAGGCTGAGCTCGGCCTGTTGGAGCAGAACCACCAAACACCACTTTAATGGCGTGTGTTCTCCTTTACAGATAATTATTCTTGCTGTATCTTTACTGCTCTGCGTTCCGCTGCAGTACTTGGTTTTTATTGTCCTGTGTGGTGCTTGATTCACTGACTGGGCGAAGCTGTTGGCCTGCTGTTGAATTTAGTTTTTCTCTTTCTGAAATGTGCTGCTCTGGAAACTTGACGTTGCCAGAGAAAACAGACCCAGCCTGAGCCTCATAACCAGAGCCGGCCTTCCAAAGAAAATGAAAAAAAAGTTCCACATGGGGGGAAAATTCTTTTCACTCGGGCATGCTAATTTACGAGTGGCTCTCCAGCACATCTTAAAGCCCTTAAACCGCCGAGCCTTTGTTTTCCAGCACCCCATTATTTCTGCTGAATTAGCAACTCCAGAGCCAGCGATGGTACTGATTAAGGAGGAGCGTGTTGGGATTAGTTTGAAACAAACTCTCAGAGAAAAGGGGGAAGGAGAAAGAAGGGCATAAAGCAGGGGTTCCCAAAGTGGGGGTCGCGGGCTGAAAGGTTTGGGAACCCCTGGCATAAAGAAGTGGGATTAAGCCGTTAATGTCTGGAAAGTTGTTTGGGGGACAGATTTATGTCTAGATGTAATGCCTCGTCACTTTTTTATGTTTAAGAGCAATTTGAAAACAATATGTGCTTTCATTTGAATGTAAATACATGGAGATCTCAATAACAATAAATACTCATTTGTTTCTCCAGCGGTATAAAGGCTGTCTAGAGACCTTTACAAACATCAGAGGGCATTTTTGCGAGTGTTAGGACTAGGCTACATTTATTTGTCCAGGGAAACTATGAATTAGTGGAAAAGAGGGAAGTAAATGATCAATCTTACAGCTAATTAATTTACCAAAAGGCCCAAAACAGACACTTTTTAATCTTGAATAACAATAGAGTGCCACAGTGACACGTCCTAAAAACCCGGAAGTAAACTCCTTCCGGTTCCTTCGACAAAAACCAATGCAATTTCTCCATAGGATTTTGGAAAATAGCTCGAAATAAGGTCTGTGGTTGACACACATTTAAGACAAGATAAATCTATCGATCATAAATCTATCGATTAATTTATGATTAGAAAATGATAAAAGTAGGGTAGACATGTGGAGATTATCCGACTGAACAAAACGTGATCCGTCTCTTAAATGTGTGTCAACCACAGACCTTATTTCGGGCTATTTTCCAAAATCCTATGGAGAAATTGCATTCGTTTTTGTCGAAGGAACCGGAAGGAGTTTACTTCCGGGTTTTAGGACTAGTCACTGTGGCACTCTATAAGTCCCACATCTGGACGAGAATACTAATTCAATTATTTAAAGGGGACCTATCATGCAAAATGCACTTTTGTACGTCTTTTACACATGAATATGTGTCCCCGGTGTTCCAGGGAACTCACCAAGTGTCAGAAAACACAACCCTCTCTATTTTCCTCCATACCCAAATCTCTAAAAAAGGGGCTGCAACGGATCTGATAAAAACTGATCCAGATTTGAACACTGTCCTGACGTCAGGAAAGTGGCGCTACGGCTATTGGGCCAACTCTCCACCTATCAGGGGAATGTGGGGTTGGGCCACGGCCGGCCATTGCCTCTCGAAAGCGCTGGAGACGCTGTAGTACATATGCCAGGCCTGTAAGTGGCGCTGTAGTCTGCCACAAAAGCAGCGAAGAAGACTTGGTTACCATGGTTACCCTTCTGTTTATTCTCCGCTGTGGCTTTCTTTCTCCCTCCCCGAGGCAAGCGTTTGCTCCTTCTGCTGCTTTAATTCAATGCAATCCCTCCCCGTCGAGGCAAGCACTGTAATTCTCTCCGGTTAGTCCACCAGCAGATGACAAACACCCACCTCTCCGCCTCTTCCAAGGAACGAGGGGACCGTGCGGCAGAGTTTCAGTTTCAGTTTCTTTCGCCGGTCAAGATGTCCGTTAAAGTTTAAATCTTCCGGACAAAATTAGAAAAGTGCCGGTCAAAGGTCTTCTTTGTTATTTATTGAGCTTTAAAACAAATGAATAACAACTCTATATAGGCTATAATAAAACACGGAGGACGGAGATCTCTTTTTCTCCCCCTCTTCTGACAGCCCAGCAGCCGATCAGAGCGGCTCCCCTCTCCTGCAGGGGGGGGTGGTCAGCTGCAGCTCACAGAATCAGCCCCGTAGACAGCAAACAGCACATAGAGCAAAATGAGGCATGGCTAAAATGCATGATCTGTTTGGTATTTCGAAAACAGAAACGTATAAATATACCTTATATAGGTATGGCCCTACAATATATCATTTAAATATAGCATGATAGGTTTCCTTTAAGTTTGACAAACATTTATCTGAGGAACATGGTGGTTTTTGGACTTAAAGAAGAACATTTATTTGACCAGGGAAATAGACAGGAAGTACATGAGGAGCTAGTTAACATCAGCAGTCACTGCTAATGCTGGCTTCTACCTGGCTGTTTTAACTAGCTACTCCAGCTAATAGCTATAAGCTAGCAAGCTACATTTTGTCATATTAACCTTACAATAACTAACATGTCATAGTAATTTATTAAAATAACATAACCACCATTTCTATAATTTAGCTTATGTTAGCTTTTTGGCATTAAAACGTTTGACCATTGTTGGAAGAAGTAACTAGATCATTTACTTTAGTTAAAGTACAAATACTATGGTCTTAAAATACTCCACTACATGTAAAAGTACTGAATTCAAAATTGTACTTAAGCAAAAGTACACAAGTATTAGCATCAAACGTAACTCAAAGTATAAAAAAGTACTCTTTCTGCACAATGAATCGTTTCACAGTATAATATTAATATCTTTATAAGTTCCTGTTTTGTAAGAGCATTTAAGTTTTGTACTTTGTACTTTTTTTATCAGCATATCATGTGCTTTTATATGTAAAAAGTAACTATGAGTGTTAAAATAAATGTGGTAGAGTAAAAGTACAAAGATTGCCCATTAAATGTAGTGAAGAAGAAGTGTAAAATAGCATTACATGGATTTACTCAAGTGAAGTACAATTATGTAAAAGTACCTAAGTACGATACTTATATGAGTATATGTTACTTTCCACCAATGTGTTTGGCTAACTCGCAGCCTTTTAAAGCTAACTCGCAGCCTTTTAAAGCTAACTCGCAGCCTTTTAAAGCTGTCGCCTTGGCTTCGTCCACAAAGATGGAAGATGTGCATTTTGGAACTTAGTGACAGCTCTCAGAGCGGCCCATCTATCCAGTGTTTGATAAGATGGGGGGGAGGGGGGGGGCAGCAGGAACAGGCTGCAGCTTGTATGCAGCGCTGTGTTATCTCGCTCCTCAGAGGCACTTTGTGAGGGAAGTGGGAGTGTCAGAGCTACTTAGGCTTTATCTAAGGGAGTATGATAGGACACCTTTCCATTATGACCCACAGCGTCTCAACTACACAACAAAAACAACAACAACAAAAAAGCTCCATGCTTGGAAAGAAAAATAGAAAGACAGGGGCTGGGGGGTTAGCATTAGCAAGGCTAAGAAGTAAAACTTGGGTTGAGTGCTTCGTGAAACTTTCACCAAAGAACAAAAACAGGCCCCAGAAAATTGGACAGGGGTGTTTCAGACGTATGAAAGGCGTCCTTCTCGCTTTTCCCGGATTGTGAATACATTAGCAGTTGATAGGTTCTTCCCCTCCTCCAGAGCTCCTTGATGGATTCCAGATGAGGGAGGTAAAGGGGGGGTCTGGCACCGCAGCGTTGATCGTGCGCAGCACCGTCAATAACTCCACCACGTTATGCTCCGTTTGCCAGAGTCCTTGAGCTGCTTTTCAGGCCTCTTTTCAAAACAGGCCGCAAAAACAAGAGTCTCACAACGAGTCTCCCCCAGAGCCAGGACGCTGATCCAACTCTGGTCCACAGGGTTCAGGCTACTACTCGGGCACACAATTGACAACAAGTACAAATGTCTATGTGTGCAACAAAAGGCGATCTTTCTCAGGCTTCTCTAAGATATATATAAATCTGAAAGTTAACCAAATGGCAAAAGAAAACAAGTTTTAAATCGGTGACATCGGTTTGTGAGTTTCTGATTATTAGAGTCTAACTTGGTATTTGATCAATAGAAGCCTAGACACCAGTTTTATCTATATAGCAGCTTTACCAAATAAAAACATTATAAAACGGCATTTAAAAACAGTCATTATAAGGCAAACAGAATAATACAAACCTGAATAAAAGTAACAGTGCAGTGTAGGATATGAATAGTTCAATTAACAGCAGCGTGAAAAGGAAAGTCTTCAGCCTGGAGGTACAGCGGTCTGGTTCTGGCCCGGTCCAGTATGGAAACCTCCACCTCAGAATGTGTACAGACTTCCCTGGCCAGGTTTGGGCCTCCTTCAGCTCAGAGGATCTTGACCTGCTATAACTTATCAGCCTGTCTGCGGTGGCTCTGCCTCTCAGCGGAGGCCTGTACAGTGAGCTGTTCAGTCATGGGGGAAAGCCTGTTTCATTTGGGCTTGAATGGGAAGCAGTTTGTTTGGTTTTCTAACTATTTTCATTTAAAAAGAAAAATACTTGAACCAGTCTGGTCCTGTATCAATAGTTTGTCCGTAAGTGACATGTCTTCAGTTTGAAATCAAACCCCCAGTCTTTGAAGCTAATTAGTCAACTTTCTTTAGACCCAGTTTTTTTCTGAGACTGTGTACAACCTTTTTCTCCACTTCTGTTTGTGACAGTGTCTGCAACAAATCTGCTTCTTGCTTATTTTTCTGACCGTTCGGTTTCATTTCATCACCATGGTTAAGCACCATCTCCCTCTTTAATTACAGAGACTTTTCCTTGATGCATTTCCTCTGCTCACAGTGTCAGAGCACAATAACAAGGACAATTTGTGTGTCATTATGTTTGCTATGTCAAACCAAATGTTAGACTGCAGCAGCGCACAAACACATGGCGTATACTTTTCCTTCATTTGGACTTGTTTTCCTTCATAGGGACCTGAGCCACAACAAATTGCGGGTGCTTGACGGCACTTTGTTTTCCAAACTACAACATCTAAGTGAAATGTGAGTATGCCAAAACTGGATTTGAAACAGCCTTAATCAATGTCTTCCATTTGAAAATAATTGTATTTTTCTCAATGTGTACAGAAAGCTGAACCACAATGAACTGGAGGAAATACCTGACCTGGGCCCTCATGCTTCCAACCTCACAACACTCATCCTGTAAGTGAAGCCTCTCTCTAACTTTCTCTGTTCACACTGGGCTGCTGGGTAATCCTCTGCCAGAGTTGTCGTTGCTGGTTAGAGCAGTGAGCTGGGAACAGTCCCCCCCCGCCTTCCCTCGAGAGAGAGCAAAGTGTTTTGGCTGAGCCGTTCCCAGACGGGCAGACTGAGACATGGCAGCCATGCCCAGACGGGTCACATGCTAGAGGACAGACCCACACTAATGGAAATGTTTTGTTTGCCGGCTGTTGCTGTATTTTTAATCTGGAGGGAGTGACGTGATGCTGGAAAGAAAGAAAATCTGTCATGTGAAAATCCAAATTTGGTGATTTTTATGTGGATGGATAATATATCCCTTAAATGGTCACATGTAAATATTTAGGAAATTAATTGATTGCAATTTGCTACACTGCACCCATATAACAACGTTAATACATCCATGTTACACCATTATCACAATGTTATTAGACACATATTACACCCATGCAACACCTATAGTACACCATTGTTAAACTGTTATTACATTGTTATTACAGCCACATTACACATTAATACCCTCTATTACACCCAGGTTGCAACATTATTGTTACAAACAGATTGCACCCATATTATACCCATGTTACACTATTATTACACATATATAACACTGTTATTAAACCCATATTCCACCCATGTAACACCAATAATAGACCTATATTACACCGTGATTACATTGCTATTACAGCCATTATACACATTGTCGGTTGATATGGAATCAAGGCAGTGTCTCTGAGTTCCTAAAGATTTGACAATATGTTGGTGCTTCACTTTAAAGTAGCCAGTTGGGCCCAGTTTTTCTGTATAAATGCACTGATTCTTTACTGTAGGATTATTCTGGGTGAAGCTGGTTAACTTGTCATATTTCATCTTGTTCAGAATATTTTGGTTTATTGTTGTGCAATACAGGCTTTCAGAAAAACACCAGATATTAGTTTGTGAAACCTCAACAATTACATTTGCTCTCTGTGGCATGTCTCTCCGAACGGAGCGTTGTGAAGTCATTGTGTCTGTCTCCCAGCGCGATGAGGAGTATTCTGCATCAGACCCAACACAACGCCGCTTTGTCCTCAGAACAATTCAAGCTCTAATTTCTTTATATTTGAATTTTAAATGACATACTATTTGTATCAAGATGTTCCTAGGTTAAGTGAGTGTGTACTCTCAATAGTATATACAACCTTGAGAGTTGAAATTTAAGAAAACATGTAAACAATCATTAAAAAAAAAAATGTCTCAGCTAATAGACCACATTTAAAGGTTAGTTACCAGGAAATGTTTAACATTACACTATTATATACACTATATTACCTGTCATACCAGACCAAACTGTTATCTTTAGTTTCTACCTAACTACACCCACGCATGTCATCTCTCATGCACGAGCTGCTCTACTTGTTGGTCAGTGTCGTTTTTTGCACTTTCTCTAAAGGCCCGGACACACCAAGCCGATTTTGGCCGTCGATGGGCGTCAGGCCAACGATGAGCGTCGACACGCCCTACTCAGATTGGTGTGTCCCGCACCGTCGTGTCTTTTCAGCCGTGCCGACACCTTTTCGGCCGACTGCCCACCGATTCAACATGTCGAATCGGTGGGCAGTCGGCCAAAGGCTGTCGGCAAAAGAAATCACTCTGATTGGCTGTTCAGCTAGCGAATCAGTGCATGAGAAGCGAAACGGAAGTGAGGGACCCAAACAAACGATTAAGAAGGCAAATCTGAGATTTCATTTAACTCCAGCTCTCGACACAGGTTCGGGAAAGCCCCATGAGCTTCTCGCTGTAGAGTGAAAATGGAACGCACACGCTATTTGTTGTTTGTTTATATCACGCAGTCTGTTCTTCTTCTCTCGGTTATCACGCAGTCTGTCTTCCGGTTGTTGCCTCTTTTGAATGACGAATACACACTACCGCCGCCTGCTGGTATGGAGAGTTATTGCCACTCACGCATGCGCAGTTCGTACGTGCTACTTGGCCGTCGGCTGAAGTCTTTGCGGTGTGTTCCAGTGCGACACATGGCCAAGACGCAGGGACGCGAGGCGACACAACAGTCGGGGGTCCGTCTGTGTGAGTTCTTTGGTGTCAGCTTGGTGTGTCCGGGCCTTAAGGCTTTTTCTGTCCTTAAAACAAACACTGCCTTTTGTGTTAAAGGAACACATTTAAATAAGACTTTTCTAATGACCTGCTTTGATTTCAAACAAAGACCCCAAATAGTGAATCTGTTACACTGTTGTCAGGTAGTAAAGACATGAGTAGGATTTATTCCAAATGAGTCAGAGCAACATTTAGAAAGAGCACACACTGAATTGTAATTCACACTGGCTGTGCCCCCCCCCCCCCCCCACCTTCAGATTAGGTGGTGCTGTGTGATTTTCAGAATTTCTCTCCCTCCTTCAGAACCTCTGTGCTGGGAGGGTTCTGAAGAAAAAAGAGCTCGGGTATCGAGTAGCACTTATTCAAACAGCCAGTCAGACAGAGCGGCAGCTCTCTCTGACCTCGCAGCTCAGAGGAAAAACAACGGCAATAACCCTGCAGCTGGTAGTAATTGAGTCGTGATCATCTTAATTAATTGAACAATTTCCCAGGAATTCATGGAGGGGGTAAACCCCACCGCCTCCAAATCCCTCCGCCTGTGTTCAGGGGGTTCAACAAATGACCTGCAGATTCCAGGTCTGATTAGTTTTAGAGGAGGGGGACCTCTCGCTATGTCTACGGAAATGGGAACCTTGTGAAGATGAGAGCAACAAACCAGAACAGTAGAGATTATAGTCATCAACTGTGACATTTACACAGCAGTTCAATCTGTGATAGGGGTTCAACTAGGGCTGTTTGTAAGACACATGTAACGTTAGTGTTGAATCAGTTGTAGTCTGAAGGGCTGGTGACACCAACATCCTCATTGAATGGAGACAGGGTTAGGAACAGTAAAGTGGCATGAGCAACAGAGAAATACTGCAAAGCAAAATGCCTTTTTGAACTTTTTAGGACTATATCATAATCACTACATGATTATTGTGGCCAAAATAATTCACTATAACAATATTATTGAAAGTAAAATTCACCTTTGTTTACTGTGAGTTTAATGTCTTAAATCTGTTAATTACACAATGTAATCCTTTGTGTGTTATTTAAGTGATATCAATATTGCATTATTGGAATATCCCGGTTATTGTCAATACCCTAATATATGGTGACTCTGGAACCTGAATAACAACCCCCATGTTTGTATGTTTTTCAGTACTACAGGCAATATAGAATCACATGAATACATCTTCACAGCTTGCAGTGTTTTATGTGACTGCCCTTCAGTTGACATGATAGTACGACCCCCCCCCCCCCCCCTCCTCTCTGACAGAGCAGATGTGTGAAGATGATCAGAATCTTACGCAGAGACATGCAGAGTTTAATACTGCGTTCAACACCCGGCCTCAGATCATAATGAGTTCATATTCACTAATTATGCCGGGGGGTTTATTTGACATGGCTGGCCTTCTGTTGACTTCCACTAACAGCAACTAACCCTACAACCACAGTTGTAATGGCTGTATAATCACGTTATCTGATAGCAAAGTGGATGAACACATTTTGAAGTGTGTGTAATTGAAGTGTACAATGTGCTGCTTGTCTGTGTGGAGAGGAGAAGTACTTATTGTGTGTTGGAGTGTGTGAGTGAGTGTGTGTCCCTGCAGTCACAGAGATGTGTTCAGGTGCACTACAGAAGAGTACGGGATCATCGCTGCATGGATCTCATAGAATAATGGAAACGTATTTGAGAGCCTCCAGCAGTCGAGCTTCAGGGTCTATCCCTCGTCGACAGACAGGAAGTGCGCAGACCCTCCCCCCTGAGAGAAACTGGAAATACTGGTTCTCTCTCACCGGGGGCCTCCCCTCTCAGCGAGCAGTCAGGGGAACATGAAAACTGAGATACAGGTGGTGTGCAGAGCTTTGTTTGGGACCTGTGGAGCGTGGAGAGCCCTCTGCAGACCCCCAACAAAAGAGCAGCCTGGGGGTCTTCATGGCTCTGATCTGTGTTCTACTGGAGCCTGGAAGTTACTGCACTCCAACAACTGCCTTTAGGTGTTGGAGTATTTAGTGCTGAGGGTTAGAGAGATGACCTCAGGCGCAGCACCAGGGGAGACGCTACACTGAGCTCAGGAGCTTGCTCTCCAAATGTTTTGCACTTTCTAAATGAAGACGCCTGTTTGTAAGGAAGTGTGTGCAGGAAGCAGTGAACAGGTGGAGGAGGGGTCATGGCTGGTTGGGTGGGTGGGGGGAGACATCTCTGTTTCACAGCAGTGTGGGGCTGTCTCAGTCTGATGTGGACCTAACCAGTTTACACCTGAGGTCAAGACTAACCAGCAGTGCCCCCCCCCCCCCCCCCCCCCCCCGTGTGAACAGACACGTCTTTATAATCTTTTTGCTTGAAAAAAAACCCAATTCAAATATCAAAACTGTTGATTATTAGTAAATCGATTAACAGTCTAAACTTAGGTACCTAACATTATTCCCTTAAAAGAGCCGAAACTGTGACTTGATGGTGGGATACGGGCCAAAGCAAACACCTGCTGTATTTTGTATAGTTTATAGGATAGTCTACCAAACATACTCGGATTAGGAATGTCATTAATAACCAACAATATCACATATTTAAAGTTGTATATTTCTTCTACAATTTGAGCTAGAAACATCTGGGGGGCCACACTATGGTCAGCCCGGTCTTAACATGACAGCTGCCACTCTCAGAGCGCAGTCTACACTGTGAGTCAGCTGATTGACAGCGTTGGTCAGTTTAATATGAATAACTCCACCTCCCAAATGAAGTCTCACAAGGAATCTGTCCTTGTGTTTTTTGTTTTGGAGGTTGCTGGAAAATGAATGAGAAACGCTAACAGGTCTGCTGGGTGAGGGGCAGACTGTACCCATCGTATGAATACTGAACACCAGGCCTGTAGTCTGGTGCACTGGAGGGAATTCCTGCCCCCCCCCCCCCCCCTCACTCTCTCTCTGCCGAGTCTCATGCACAAAGAGGGCACTGTACGGCTGTGTTTATAACCAAGAGTCCCTGCACTGCAATTTAGGAGGCGTGCAGCGCAGGAAATTGCTGGCCTCTGCCGAGGCATGCTTTCACTGAGGGAATGGCATTCATCAGCCAAGTAATTGGCAGGTTACTTTTTAAAATACCTTGTTGGTAATTACCTTATAAACAAAATCACACATCACTAACCCAAAGGTTGTTTGGACTGCAGCGACTTGATCATACTGAGCAATTTGTTTGTCATCTCTAAAATATGCATGCTACATCAGCAAAACCCTCTGACAGAGTTTCACGCTGGGTGGTAAGTTATAGCTTACAGGCGTGTGAGAGTTTGCCTTTTTTATACCACAGGCTAATTGAGGGACTTGACTGTTTGCATATCTGGAAACATGAAGCTGGTGTGAGCCACTGGTCAAATACACAGTATCTTTGTCATTTATTGGAGCGATGCTGTCTGTGTTTTCAGAGCAAACAACAGGATCAGCAGGGTCTCCGCGGAGCAGCTCAGACCCTTCCTCGCTCTGGAAACACTCGACCTCAGCAACAACAACATGGTGGAAATCAAGGCGGGCTCCTTCCCCGCGCTGGCCCTCAGAAACCTGTGAGTGTTTCCCAGAGTGTGTGTGCCTGAATGAGCAGAAGAAATCTGAATAAATCCTTTTGTCTGACCACTTACAGATGTAGTTGTTGTGGTGCTTTAATGGACCTACATGTGTCTGTTTCTGTAATGACATTTTGTATTGTAATTATTCTGTGTTTCTTTGTCAGGTACCTCAACAACAATCGGATCTCCTCCCTGGAGACGGGCTGCTTCACCAACCTGTCCAGCAGTCTGCAGCTCCTCCGGCTCAACCGCAACCGCCTGGCCTCCATCCCAGCCAAGATCTTCACGCTGCCCCACCTGCTGCACCTGTAAGCTTCACCGTTTGACTCTCAATCAGGCTTTACATTTTGAAGATATTATCTTTACAATCATCAAATACCCTAATAAACTGGAATCTCTTTACCTTAACATTTTGTTAAGAAACAAATATTTGCACTGCATCACCAATAGGATCCATACATTTTTTAATTCAATATCCTCTTTAGTTCAAATCTATAATATTTAATAAATCATATGGTTCCATAAGGGGTGTAAATAGAAAACATAATAATACATTTCTCTCAGATAATGAGTCCTGTGTTTTAAGATGGAGACTCTTCTTTCACTTCTCTACCACGATAGAAACGAGAACGATTTTCAAGCCACATGTATGACAATATTCATGATTCTCCTGATAAAGAGATTCCCCACTATCGACTTATTGTGAGTGGGTTATTACTGCCATCCAGTAGCATCAAGTCCTCCCAAACCTAATTGGCAGGGGTTCAGGCATTCAGCCAATTCCTGTGACTTTGAGAGCTCTACTTTACTGTTCTGTGTGTGTGTGTTTCAGGGAGCTGAGCAGGAACAGGGTCCGCAGGGTGGAGGGTCTGACGTTCCACGGGCTGCACGCCCTCCGCTCCCTGAAGCTGCAGAGGAACGGCCTCAGCCGCCTGATGGACGGGGCCTTCTGGGGCCTCAGCAACATGGAAGTCCTGTAAGCTGACAAGAACTGTGCATCAAGTCCTGACCTGCAGAACCTCCTGCTGGTTCGGGTCAAATCTGACCGGTGTACTACTTTCATCAATCATAAATATTATAATAAATATTTAAATAAGTACACACACATGGACAACCATGCTCATTTTAAACCAGTAGTCTGACATATTGCTTACAGCTTAAAAGGGTGTTTAATACAAATGTTCAGTGTTAATGTAAGAGCATTTAAAAAAACACAGGTCAAATTTGACCGGAACCACCAAAGTGAGGGGGGGGAAAGGAACACAACAGGAGGGTTACATGTAGTATAGAGTCTCACTGTGTGTGTGTGTCCTGCAGGCAGCTGGACCACAACAACCTGACAGAGGTGAGTAAGGGCTGGCTGTACGGCCTGCTGACCCTGAACCAGCTCCACCTCTCTCACAACGCCATCAGCAGGGTCCGACCCGACGCCTGGGAGTTCTGCCAGAAACTCAGCGAGCTGTGAGTCCACCCTTTTTTTCTTTCATACTTTTTCCCTCCCCCCTCTGCACCCTCTTTCTCTTCCCCCCTCCATCCCTCTCGTTATTCCCTCCTCACTTTCCATTCACACTCTGAACTCCCAATACTTCTCTGTGTCGCCCTCTCACACACACACACACACACACACACACACACACACACACACACACACACACACACACACACACACACACACACACACACACACACACACACACACACACTCCGGAGGTACCACTTATTTCTCCAGTTGCCAATCCCATCATATTGTAGTTTCTTCCCTTGTCAAACACTACGTTACCCACACACACACTCCAGTGATTTTCTTCCATATCAAAGCACATTCCTGGCAGCAGATTGAGTTCCCTTTGTTGTGGCTGCTGTTTACTTCAGCGGTCAGCTCAGTGTTTCTCTCAGACAGCTTGTTGTTCTTCTCCCTGTTTGTGCCGCTCTTATCACATGCAGCTGAGAGTAAACAAGCCGCCTGTCGGCTGGGAGCGTGCCCACCTATCTGATGCATTCTCATCTGAGTTTACTTAAAACCTGGCTCCTCACAATGTTTACTTTCACGATTGCTGTGTTGTAGCAACATTTGATCACCTCGTACAAAATGAATGTTATCATAAAACCAAATCACTACATGTTTTTTACTGGATGTTTGTATTTGTGTTGTCCTACAGCAACCTCTCCTCCAACCATCTGTCCAGACTGGAGGAGTCCAGCTTCGTGGGCCTCAGCCTGCTGGACCAGCTCCACATTGGGAACAACCGCGTGAGCTTCATCGCAGACGGAGCCTTCCGGGGCCTCTCCACCCTGCACCTGCTGTAAGTTCACGTAACGAAGCACAACCAGGCGGAAGGGTTTACTCGTGTTTTCTTCCACTTCCTGTTTGAATCTGATCTGATTTCACTAATGAATATGATATCATATGCAGTGAATGTAGTTACAGGTTATACTCCCAACCCCTATGGAACAGATGGAATCTGAAATGTGATTTGAGCAACATGCTTTTTTTTACTCTTTAGCGTTTTTTGTACAGGAGCTATAACATTCATGAATAAGCTTGGTGAGATGATTTCATCGCTTGGAGCAGATCTAAGCTTAGTTAGTCTGGTGGTCTTGTGTGCGATGCTAAGCTAATCCTGTCCCAGGTCAAGCTCTCATGTACAGACATGTTGTATCAATCCTCTCATCTAACTTTTTAAGTGAGGTCAAACTATTGCTTTAAGTAGACTCTCTGTTTCATTACGTTTGTCAGCTAACAGAAACACTATATGTAGGTCCCCCTTCCCTAAAGGCAGTAAGTACTTCATATGCCCCCCCCCCCTCACTCTCCATCAATCCCCTGCCTGAGTGGAAATATCCTGCCCGATTTGTTTTGGGGATGTGAAATAGATTACTGTGTTGAGGTCTCCTCACACACATAAAGAAAACCTCCGAGAGGCACAGCCCAGACCTCAACGACCCCCCCCCCCCCCCCCCATCTCTCCCCTTCCTCAGCCTGACCCCCTCTCCCACACCCACCCAACCCCCCTTTCCCACAGAGGGGCTCCTTAACATTTCCCCTGGTTGGGGTTTTGGTTAAATGGAAACAAATGTGTGCTGTGCTGCTGAGGTCACCACAGGGCAGGTGTGCAGCGAGGTGGAGCCTCAGGGCTTTACATTCCCCCCCCCCACACACACACACACATCCTTCCTCAATCTCAGTTGGCCATATCCAGGCCTGTTGAGGAGGAAAGAACAGTTTGAACGTATTAGAGCAGCCGAGGGATCCAAACCGGTGACTTAATGCTGTTTCCTGCTCCTTTCTGTGGATAGCAGGTGTGATGTGTCCATATTTCTTTCAGTGGCCACTGTATGAGTTTGATAGCAACGTAATCATCAGGTGTTGGTGTCTCAAATAAAGTGCAGGTGCTCTGTAGAGCTGCTCCTTTGTCCTGACGTTCGTAGATCAAACACAAAGGAATCCATTAAAGTAATGGCAGAGAAACCAATTCTGTGCTCACAGTACAGGAAACATGTCAACTTAGTAAAAACACTGTGACTACGCTAAGTGGAGATTTACCATAAAGAGTTTGCACCACACAAAGAGGTGGTTTATTACTTCATACACACACTAATCTGCCAGATGTGCTAACCGAGCCAACTAGCTAAACTAACGTTAGCTTGCTCGTTGTGCAAAAATGAACATCATGAAGTCGGCACAACATGTGCTACTGCATATATTGAGAAGTAAGGTGTTTCAGAGTTAGAAGTATTTCGTTTTTTGCAATTAGATCTTTGGTATATTGTGTTGTATAATAGAATGCAATTAAAAAAAGTACACGTCTACTTTTGACTGTTAATTGGTCATACATTAGCAAGCTTCAGTTAGCTCTTTATGGATTCAGTTAGCTACATAGCAGTTGCTGGCAATAAGTAGTAAATATCGACATGATCCGTTAATCTCACTCTGAGGAGCAATGTCTTTGAATATGAAAACGGCAGGTTAACCAAAACAACTAAACTCTTTCACAGAAGAACCCTTAGAATGTGTTAAATACCTCAGATGTATTATATATTTAATGGAAGATGGAGATCTGCAGCAACCCTTCCTCTGAGGGTAACTCACACATATCTAACTGCACACAGAGTATATTTATCCTCAAAGAAGTTGAGAATGCAGCACACATGTTGTAGTGCAGCATGCCCTTGTAAAACTGTTTCTATACAACACAGAAAACCATGGCAGACTTTAAAAGTGCTGCAAAGGCGACGAAGGGACTTCCTGTCAGGCATGGAGCCGCTTTGAATATCCTTTTAAAGTCTCAAACATGAGACGTAAAGCCGCATTAGGTTTTATTAACATCGTAAGTGCAGTTGTGTTTTTGGGTGGATTTTTACAACGTGGTCTGTCTTTGTTTCTTCAAAAGGGATCTCCAGAATAATGAAATCTCCTGGACCATTGAAGACATGAACGGCCCTTTCTCTGCTCTGGACAAGCTGAACAAACTGTGAGTTCCTGACCGTGTTTAAAGTCAAATCTGCTCAAAGATTGTAGGTGAACCTGTGAGACACTCTGGGGTCAGCAGACCATAATAACATGAGGCTAGTCAACAACATCATCTCTGTGTCCTGAACAGTGAATATGGATATGGCTGAAGCACTCCTTTGTGCACCTGTCGATCGTAAAATGAAATACTGAGATCAATCCTAGATCAAATGTATGTTCGAGGGTCTTGAACCAGTTGTGTTTTTCAGTGATTGTAATGTTATGTTAAATGTCTGTTTCCTTGTATCGTGTAATATTTGTCCTTGTTTGATGTTGCAAATGGAGCTGCTGTGATGTGACAATGAAGTATTTCTGAATCGTAAGAGTTTGAAGCTGATACAGAGTCTTGTTGTTTCCCAGCTTCCTGCAGGGCAACCAGATCCGCTCGGTGACCAAGAAGTCTTTCTCCGGCCTGGACGCGCTGCACCACCTGTGAGTTGGCCTCGTGTTTCACTAATTGTTTCCAAAAGTTGAGCTGTAAACTAAGCAGGGTGAATCACACAGACACAGAGGCTGTTTGTTTCAGTCCTCTCCCAGTCCTCCTCTTTCATGTGGAATCAAGACAAAGTATTTGTACTGTAGTGCCAGACTATATCGATCACCAAGGCTAGTGTGTGTGTGTGTGTGTGTGTGTGTGAGAGAGAGAGAGAGAGAGAGAGAGAGTGTACAACAGCTGCATTTGATTCTAATTAGAGTTTTTTCCCAGCCGTAGCCGAGCTGAAGCCGCCCAGACTCGGCCTCTCTTGATTAACACAGCAAACTCCTGCCCAGAGTTTTATTGTTCTGGAGCCCAGACCTTTTTTTCTCTCCATTGAAGTTGTTCGTAGCGTTCCCTCTGTACGGCTGATGTTGGCAGAAAGAGACGCCATCTTTCCTCAGCGTCTCACCAGTCCTCTTTCTCTTCTCCTCTCCACAGAGATCTGAGCAATAACGCCATCATGTCCATCCAGGCCAACGCCTTCTCTCAGATGAGGAACCTGCAGGAGCTGTGAGTAGGACTGTTTAAACACAGCTTCAGTGAGTGTGTCAGGGTGGATGTTGCACAGAGCACCAGGTGAAACTCATTATGGTCTGCTGGGAAAGGCAGCAGCAACAGGTTCCACTAAAGCATTGATTCCAGTGTTGCTAAACAAAGGAACTTCAAATATTTCCCCAAACTATTCAGACTGAATGGTTCGCACGTTGGACACATTTTCCACACAGTTTTAATAGTTAAGTAGTCTCTTTATTAAGCAAATCAACATTTAAAGTCCATTGTAGCAATGAAAAGGAAAGGAAATATAAATATGTCACTCTTAACTGCCTCTGGGGCACCAGCAGGGAAACTGAGAAGTCCAGGCAAGAATATCCTTTGGAACATTTATTTCAATGATCCAATATCATACATAAATGCAGTTATAATTCTTTCCCTTCAGCCTTTCCTATGGCTCTCCTCGTGCTTAGCCTGATTGAAAAACCATATGCCATACTGGTGCGCTGAAAAGAAAATCGTAAAACAACTACTTCAATTAACTTAAATGACACTAAAATAAAAGGTCAATTCAGCCGCAAGAAAACAAATGTTTACCTATAAAAGAATATAAATCAATATACAGCTCCGACATCACTATTAGTTTCACTGATCAACAAATTGTCCTCATAATCTACTGAAGTACAACATGTCATATAGAACAGCCGTTTCCAGAGATGTAGGAGTGTTGAATGGAGCTCTGTGCTGTCTCCCTGCAGGCGGCTGAACACCTCCAGCCTGCTGTGTGACTGCCAGCTCCAGTGGCTTCCTGTCTGGGTGGCAGAGCAGAGCTTCCTGCCCCGCGTCACCGCCAGCTGCGCCCACCCGCAGACGCTGAAGGGCAGCAGCGTGTTCTCCGTCAGCCAGGACCAGTTTGTGTGTGGTAAGTGAGGCCTTCACTGTGTGCAACACCTTCTCACACACACACACACATACACACACACACACACACACACACACACACACACACACACACACACACACACACACACACACACACACACACACACACACACACACACACACACACACACACACACACACACACACACCTTTTCCATTTACGAGCAGACCCAGATTGTTCAGTATTTTCCTCCCGACTCCTGAACAAGCTAATGAGTCTCCTGAAGAGACGATGTGGAAATGTACTGGGTTCAGTGAACAGCTCTCCTGGTTACTGTCATAGAGACCTACTGAAATATTTCAGTTTCTCTGACAACAAAATGCAAACATTATACCAAACATTGCTGAATGACCATTTCCAAACCTTATTACACAGTCATGTTATACTATTGCTATCACACTACATTATACATGCTGAAAAAGCTTGTATTGGTACTTTTAGTTATTCACCTGGATGGGTATTTTTGTAAATTGTATTTTGTGTAATTTCTATTTTTATCTCTATTTATTAATATTTTGCTATTTTTGGCTCTTGACTTTTGTTGTTACAATGCACATTTCCCCTCTGTGGGACAAATAAAGGTATTCTGATTCTGACTACAGCATAGTCACTTTTAAATAGTACCTTCCTGTCACCCCAGATGACTTCCCGAAGCCTCAGATCACGCTGCAGCCGGAGACGCAGTCCGCTCTGAGAGGATCCAACGTGACCTTCATCTGCTCCGCGGCCAGCTCCAGCGACTCGCCCATGACCTTCTCCTGGAAGAAAGACAACGAGGTCCTGGACGACGCTGAGATCCACAACCAGGCCCACCTGAGGGTGCAGGGCGGCATGGTGGGAGAGACGGAGGTGACGGAGTACACCACCACCCTGCAGCTGCGGGACGTGGAGTTCTCCAGCGAGGGGAAGTACCAGTGTGTCATCTCCAACCACTTCGGATCGTCCTACTCCACCAAGGCCAGACTCACCGTCAACAGTAGGTTTGGGAGGGGGGAAGTCAAGACGTTGCTGTGTCTGGATCGATAAAGTCCATTTATTTCAAAGTTCTAAATGATCTGATTGAAGTTACTTTTCTTTTCCAGTGCTCCCTTCCTTCACCAAGATGCCAATGGACCTGAGTATCCGTGCCGGAGCGACAGCCAGGCTGGAGTGCGCCGCCGTGGGTCACCCCTCCCCTCAAATCGCCTGGCAGAAAGACGGAGGCACGGACTTCCCTGCTGCACGCGAGCGCCGCATGCACGTGATGCCGGAGGACGACGTGTTCTTCATCGTGGACGTCAAGGCCGAGGACATCGGTGTTTACAGCTGCACGGCCCAGAACACCGCTGGAGCTATCTCTGCTAATGCTACGCTAACGGTTCTAGGTAAGAAAAAACATCAATCGCCCCTTTACCACCAAACGGGTTCCAGGGCCAGTTTGTAGCTAGTGCCCGATTGCAAACCAGTTTTTCCTGTTTTCAAACTGGTTCGCATTTGGAACCAAACACCAAATATGTTATAGAAATAGAAATATCTTTAATGAACAAGGACCATTAGAGATTAGCTTCGGTGGCTGGCTTAACATGAACCATCTAATGCCAGAGACAAAACGGGGTTGTGTTGCTAAACTGTCAATTCAGAAAAAAATGGTAAATATGCATCAGTTGCTATTGTGACCGTCAGACAGTGCGTTACTACTCTCCAGCAGTCGAACCAAAGGAGCACCAGCATGGAGATGTGGTCGCAGGGCTTGTGTGATGATAGATCAGATCTTGACTGATGCATCATTCTGCTGTGGTCCTTTTGACAGAAACGCCTTCCTTCCTGCGACCCCTCATGGATCGCACCGTGGCCAAGGGGGAGACTGCGGTCCTGCAGTGCATCGCCGGCGGCAGCCCCCTCCCCAGGCTGAACTGGACAAAAGACGACAGCCCATTGGTCGTGACTGAGCGCCACTTCTTCGCAGCGGCCAACCAGCTCCTCATCATCGTGGACGCTGCAGAGGTCGACGCGGGGACGTACACCTGCGAGATGTCCAACACTCTGGGGACAGAGCGGGGGAACGTCCGGCTGGCCGTCATCCCTAACCCCAACTGTGACTCCGGAGTGCAGGGCGGTGTGGGGGGGGGGCATGATGGGCGGGGCAGGAGCGGACAATGATGGTTGGACCACGGTGGGGATCGTCATCATCGCTGTGGTGTGCTGTGTGGTGGGCACGTCCCTGGTGTGGGTGGTCATCATCTACCACACCCGGAGACGCAGCGAGGACTGCAGCGTCACCAACACAGGTGGGTGCATGCTGTTACCTCTGTATTATATAACTACGGCTGTAGTGGCAGACCTGCCACTGTCTGACTGGCGTAGCATCATTTAAAATTATTGGACCTGCGCACTACAGTCTGCATGAAACTAGTATAGGGTGTAAACAATACATATAACTATGTAAAAACAGTATAATTATTACTCTTGGTTATTACATTCATTTAAAGTCCCCTATTATACTGTATTTCAACAATATATTATAGGTCTCAGATATATACAGAACATGTCTCTGAAGTGTTTGGCTCGAAACACCAAACAGATCATTGCAGCATCCCATAATCCCCTCTGTTTCAGCCCTGTTCCTAAAGTGCTGATTCTCTTGTCTGTAGCTTTAAATGCTAATGAGCTGCTGCTGGCCCCGCCCCTCTGAGATGTGCTTTGTGGCTGGCTTATTTTCAGACAGGTTTTTATATAGATGGATCAGGACAAAAAGAGACGGGGTCTTTGTTCCTGAACCTCTCTGAACCCGTTAACATACAAGGGACACATATTTATGTATAAAAGGCATGAAAAAGTAGATTTTGCATAAAAGGTGACCTTTAAATTCAATTCAAAGCATATACAACTTTCTTGCCAACATAGACATTTACCCTAAATAATAATACGCCTAAATAGCTCTTACAAAGGGTATCATACAAGTGCAGCTGAATCTGTTAACAATGAAAATAAATGTGTATGATATAACTTGATGACAAAGGTTTGTGAAGCTAATGCAGTACCGCTGAATGTGGTTGGGCTTATAGACAGGAAATGTACCTGCAGGATTCTTGCTTTTCACTTTGTTTCAAGTTCATGTACTAACTTGACGTCCTCCCGCTGCAGATGAGACCCACCTGCCTGCAGACATCCCCAGCTACCTGTCCTCTCAGGGCACGCTGGCGGAGCGGCAGGACGGCTACATCCCCTCGGAGAGCGGCAGCAGTGATCAGTACATGTCTTCATCTCTGAGCGGATTCTACCTGCAGCCCAAAGACATGAACGGTAAAACACCTGCTCATCCTGCTTTCTTCTCAAATGTAGTTCCTGCACTGTTTTTCCTACATGACACTGTTCCTTCACTCATACAGGATTTTGTCAGCTGGACACAGGAAGTGAAACAGACATGGAGGCAGCCATCGATCCTCTTCTCTGCCATTATCAAGGACCAATCAGCTCCCTGCTTCGGCGAGACAACATGTACTCCACTGAGCCGTCAGACGTCTTCACAGGTGTGGACAAACCCCATGTCAAATAGAAACTGTCCTCTTGATCATTATCCTAAACCTTACTGTTGGTAGTAAGTGTTCCTAAAGTACAGCCTCTAGAATCTGTCTTCCTCCCTTTCTCACCCACCCTCCCCCTCTCCCCCCACCAGGCTGCTCCATGGACCAGAGGCCCGTCTACGTGGACTCCTACAGCGGCAGCCTGAGCAGCTCTAAAATGAAGGACTACTTCCTGTCTGAGCACTTTGACCTCTGCTCCTCCTCGGTCCTGATGCAGCTCCCCAACGCCAGCCTCCATCTGGGCCCCCCCCACCAGCAGAGTGACCGCCGCACCTCCACGGAGGAGGCGGAGGCCAACGTGTACGGGAAACCTCACGAGGGTCTCTCCCCCTCCAGCACCTTCATGGGTACGCCTTCAGATAATCATTCCCCAACTGTCTGGATTGTGTCTGCACATTGTTCTGACTTCTTCTCTCTCACTCAGGAACGTTTGGGAAGGCCCCCTGGACCCCCCACAAGGACCTGTACCCAGGCTTTGGCCCGCACTCGGTGACGCATCACGGAATAACTCTACACGAAAATCCTTACGCCGCTCCAGACGCAGATTCAGACCTGGAGGAGAGTCTCACCAAGGACTCTGCGTCAGAGCAGAGCAACAGCATCTATGAACAGCCGTTTGACCTCCTGAGGACGGACCCCCCCCCCGCAGCGCAGGCCCAGCACCTAGCTGAGCTGGGTTTAAGGACCAAAAAGAGAAACCTCTACCTCACTGAACGGACACTTTGCAATAAAGGACTCCTCAAATGTGCAACGAGTGAATGTAACAGACAATTTGATGTTCCAGAGAAAGAGAAAGGAGCGTGTTAGCAGCTTCAGTTAAAGAATATAGATGAATATATACATTTTTTATATAAAGTTTATTCTATTTTGTAAATTGTATATAAACAGAGTATTTTTGCTTACCTTTTGAGTATTTTGCAGCCCTGCCTGTTCAGTTATTCCAGCTTTGAATGAAACCATGTTTTGCACACGTGTAAACAATAAAGCAGCGCTGCATTCAGAGCCGACTCCTCACTGACACCCCCCCCCCCTCCTGAGAGAGCTCAGAGCACGGGGTTCTGCTGCTGGGTGTTAACGCTGGCCTTGGAGACAGAACCACAGACCGCCAAGGACGCCTCGCTCTGTCATCAGTCAGCCCCCACACAGACAGAGAGCATGATGGGTATCACACTCCGGGTCCATGTAGGGCTGGGTAGTATTTACAAATGATAGTTTATCCACTCTCAGCTGATCACGTGGCACAAATGTTTTCAAACTAAAGATATCAGGCCAGCTGAAGACTATATTTCCCATATTGTGATTTAAACAGCGGTGGATAGTAACAAAGTACATTTACTCAAGCACAATACTTCAGAACAATGTTGAAGTACTTGTACTTTACCTGAGTATTCTCCGTTTATGCTACTTTTGACTTCTACTTTACTACAGTTTGGAAGCCGATGTTGTACTTTTTACTCCAATACATTTATCTGACAGCTTTTAGTTACTAGTGACTTTTTAAAGATTTATATCATTAGCTAATACAAAATATAAATGTATTATTAAGTAAATGTTGATATTTATTTGTAGTTTAAGAAATCTAGAAGGAGTTGCGATAACAATCTTAATAGGGCGGTGGTAGCGAAGTCCATAGGGACTTGGCTTGGCAACTGGAAGGTCACCAGTTCAAGTCCCAGAAAGACCAAGTGCTACCGAGGTGTCCCTGAGCAAGGCACCATTCCCTACACTGCTCCCCGGGCGCCGGACATGATGGCAGCCCACTGCTCCTAACACTAGGATGGGTCAAATGCAGAGAAACCCTTTCGTTACATAGTGCCTGTACTACGTAATGACAATAAGTTGAATCTTCAATCTTCTTCTTCAATTAATAGTAACCCAGAAACTCAATATATAGACGATTCTGAAATGGGCCATTATGCACAAGGTGTACTTTTACTTTAATGCTGCTACTTTCATACTTTTACTGGAGTAAGATTTTGAACGCAGGGCTTTTACTTATTAAATGTAGTAAAATCTGAGTTCAAAGGTGTTGACCATAAGGCCTCACTCTGGTACAGCCAGTACTAATACTACGAGTTCTACTATCCCTTACTTACACTACTGTCACCAATACTGGTACTAATACTTCTACTATATACATCTGCTGTTAATACTGGAAGTAGTTATCACTGCTACAGCAACAACTATTAGCTCTTCAGATGAAGGAAGAAGTCCTTTTCACAAAGCTACAAACAGAAGATATCAGTACTACTTAATAAAATAGCGTATCGTCTGTATCCTGGTTATTTAAAAATCTCAGATTCACCACCATAATGTTTTAATAATGATGCTCATAAGTAAATAATACTTAATATAATTATATATAATCCATGTTAAACCCACAAATTGATTTGAGAACAGTATGGCACAATGTAGCTTAGCCCTAACTAAACTCCCCCTGTTTGCTGTGTGACTCACCCCTCTCTCTCACCCCCCCCCGCCAGCCCTCCTCGCCTGGTGGTTTGTTGTTTCAGGCCTCCCCTCTCCAGCATGAGGGAAGAAGGTGTGCTTGTGCGCCGGGCTAGCTGTTGAAACTTGCACTTGGAAGGCTTCTTTGGCTCTCTGTCTGCCTCGGTGGAGTTGTGTTTACCGAGTGTTAGATACACCATGGGGGTGCCAGCAGTTCACTGGAGAGTTATGCACCCCCCCTATTCAAGGGCAGTCGTCTCTGTCCTGCATTTAATCCGGCAGCGTGAAAAGAAACCATGTTGAAAAGAAATAAAACATACTTTGTGTTATAATGGTACGCACTAAGGTCTGTGTTTGGACTCTCTTCCAGTGTGTGTATGGAAACGCTGATGAGGAGATTTGCTTTCATAGGCCATGTTATTTTGTCCCATCCTTCTGGCTGACTAATGTTAAAGTACACCTGGCTGTCGGCTCTGCTGCCGCTGTTGAGAAGCCTTTACCCCACTGTAAAGGAATGAGGGCTTTGTTGGAAGTGTTGCCAGTTCTTTGAGGAGGCTGCGATTAAGACAAGATGGTCCATAAACCTGGAGAACAGCTGCTGCTGAGGCTGCTGACGCTGCATTCAAGGACCAGTCTGCCTCACCTCATCTCAGGACCCAGTTGTGTCTGCCTAGAGCACAAATCATGTGTAATCCCCCCCCCCCGCAGGCCTGAGGATTAATGATAAACTCAGTGGCTTGTGATTGCCTTCTTGTTGAGCACATTGTGGTGATATGTATAGGACTGGCACATTGTGTTGTTTGGAAGTACATTTTCAAAGCTTTGTGTGGGCAAAATGATGCATGATGAGTTATTGATGCATGTAAGATGTGTATAAACAGATGTCAGATCAGAACAGAAAAGTATACTTCTGTAGTTGTGCCCATTGGGGGATTCCCAATCTCTGTGCTGGAGCAGTGGGGGGGGGGAAAGTCCAGCTCTGGTGCTTTAGCATTGCTGTGAAGCACCTTTTGGTCAGGAATTTAGCAATCCATGGTGCATTTATTATTATTATTATTATTCGTGTTCCTGCTGAGGATTGGCTTCCGTGCGACATGAAACAGGAAGCAGGAGGTCGGAACATGTTTCAGATATGTCCAGTTAGTGTTCAAACAAGCAGTAGCTGATTTATTTGACACTTGAGGTGAACCGCGATAAACTACAAAGTCTGGTGGTTATTCTTTTTATTTCGTCGATATGATCTTCACTTTTTAAATAACTCCTACACATTTGATGAGTTTTTAAGATAAAAACATTTACTTTGGCAGCTTTAATCATTTTACATAAAGTTGGAATATTAGTGTGTCAGAATCAATAAACAAGGCTTCTTTTAGCGGAACATGTGAGATCCACACCCACAGAGATCAGAAGAATACAATAATGTTTCTTCACGAAGACATGTTTTTTTTAGTGTTGGTTGCAACACTTACTCTTTATCAACTGAAAATCCACGACTACACAGTATAACTCTTGTTACAGCCATGCTGAATACAACAAGCTCTCACATGTTACACAGGAATTGTTTTTAGACCTAATAAATCTCGGGCTAAGGCAAGTTGAGGGAAGACATATGTTTTATACAGAATGTCTCCTTGACTGTGTTGAAAAACTCAGGTTTGTGATCTGAGACGAACCCTTCCTTGAACTGCCTTGCTCAAGGTCACTTGAATGCAACAGTGGGAAAGGGTTTCTTCCCCGTTCAGAGTTCAGCAGCTGGTGTGGTGGATTCAGATGCTCTTCTTAACAATACTTGTTTCCCTTTTTGTAGACAAGGCTTTACCATTCTCAATTAAGTGGGTGAATGTGAATCCCCTCAGAAGGGTTTATTTACTCCTTAGGGAAAGTCTCTGAAATTGCTACAACCAAAAAAGAATTTGTGGCCTTAAAAGGGACAGAGGCGTTGAAGTTTTAAGCGCTGGGAGCCTTCACATTTCCAGCCAGAGTGAAAAGAAAACAGGCCAGATTACAGAATAATTTCCCCTCTTTGATTCTGCGTCCAGAGAAATGAGACAGGAAGTTGACGATTCTTCCAGACCACCAATGAATGGCAGACGGCTAATGGAGCCTGCTACCCCCTGGTCTCAGATCAGCCTCTAATCTCAATGTTCTGACCCTGGTGTGTTCCCGTCAACAGACACTGACCTGGAGTCAGCTCCTCAGGCCCTCTCTGATCCAAACCCCAGAGAAAATGACTTCAGCATGCCACGCTCTTATCTCTCTGCCAGACACTGAATTGTGGAGCTCATTTGCCTTCATTATTGCCAGATGTGCTGACAAGCAGACAGATGTTTATTATATTAAATAGCGATAGGCAGCTTGCAAAAAGATTATTCCTCTGTTATGAAGCTCGGGAATTCTGCTGAAGGATGTCTGACTTTTATGACCACTGAGCTACAGCAGATATGCTGAGTCAATGCTAAAATACAGATTTAAAAATAATGCAACCCGTGTACTCCCGGTATAATGGTGGAGTGAGCGGGCGCGAGTTAACCAGGTCGGTTCATTGAAACCCACAAAATCCAACTACTCCGCACACGAGGAAGCAAAAGAGCTAACAGAGACACTGCAGCTACAGGATAGCATAGACATGCTAATAGGGCTAGCCAGCATTAGCAACGATATCAAAGAGTTCAAACAGGAGCTACGACACCGGCTATCCACATTTAAAGAAGAACTGACAGAGATGAAAAAAGAAATCTGTATTCTCCGACAAGAAATATACCGTAAACTCACAGAGAATAACAACGAAGTACAGACACTAACATCAGACATTAGTGAAGCCCGGTCACGCATAGCGGAGTTAGAGGAATGGCAGTTGGTGGCAAATAAAAATGTGGCGACATTTGGGTCACACTTTGCATCTGACTTCCCAACTGTTTACAGAAATCCAACAAGTGTTGTGTTGCTTTAGTTTAGAGGATGATCTTTCAGGATTGCCTCTGATCGGACAAATCATTAAAATCATTCGCAGATTATTGTTGAAGCTTGGTGAGAACATTTAGAGTATATCGAATCATAGAAATATATTTTGCTTGGTGCAAACACCAGATGAAGCCTACTTCAGCTGGGCTGTAAAATCCCACGGTCATATAACATGAGCTGCCATCAGCGTGATTCCAGCACGGACTCCATAAAGCCCATCAGAACATCTCCTTTCAATCTCTTCAGCCAGGGCTCTTTGAATGATTAAAAGCATATACAGGGGCTTAGCATCTTGCAGATGTTGCCATAAATCACCGACTGGCCCTGCCTCTGCAACTGGCTGCCTGACAAATGTTCCACAATAACTGGGGCCCCCACCCCACCCTTCCAGTAAAAGAGAAAAAAAAGAAAAGGGTGTAAAAGGGAAAGAAAAAAGCCTGGAATGTGTTCTTGTAACTCTTTCAGGACCATTGTAAAGTCTCAGCCATGTCAGCACAGGTGGAAACCTGAGGGCTCGTAAAGCGGAGACAAAGCCCGCCCACTGCAGCTCTCTCTGTTTGAACCTCCCTGCTGCCCACCACCCCTCCACTGTG